CGGGGGAAAAGCGGGGATCAGCTTCCTTCAGCTCCAGCAGCGCCAAGCGTGGCTCTCGGTTTTGTCGGGTTTTCGCTCTCTTTTGTTGATGGGTTTTGTTTGGCTTTTTTGCCCCCTGAGGTTCCCTGAGGACCGAGCCCTCGCCGAGAGGCCGAGAAGAGGAAGGGGCGTGGCTCTCGGTTTTGTCGGGTTTTCGCTCTCTTTTGTTGATGGGTTTTGTTTGGCTTTTTTGCCCCCTGAGGTTCCCTGAGGACCGAGCCCTCGCCGAGAGGCCGAGAAGAGGAAGGGGGTAGGGGAAAGGCCGGTGCCGGCCTCCTCTTGTCAGCAGAGCAGGAGTGGAAAGTTGCACGAAGGCATGAATGTAATGTAAATAAATGACTCCGACTCCGAAAACAAACAGACAGACAGACAAAAAAGAAAAAAAAAAAAAAAAAAAGTGCTGCATGGCTCGCATGGATACAACGCACCCCAGGGACGCTCCAGCCCCCGACTGGAAGCAGCGTCTAGTTCACATCATCATCCCTCTTACCTGATAAGTCCCTTCGTATCAAACCTTCTATATACGAAATACAGTATGATAATAAAAAGTGCCATTTCGCCATTTTTGTGTGATCAATAGGCAGTAGAGATCGTACTTTTACCGTGGAAAAAATTGTAAAGGTTTTATTTAAGACACAGTTGCATGAATATTCTCATCGGATCATTTCCTTCTTTCTTGTTTTCTTTCCTTTTTTGGGAGGGGGAGGGGAAGTGGGAATTACTTTGTTGGGAGAGATTTGCTTTGCTGCTGGTGGGTTTGGTTCTTTTTTTTTTTTTATCTGGGGGGGGGGCACCTTGGTTTTCTTTTCACTCTCTTCTTTTTCAATATACATATTCAGTATTGCTTTTCCATCTGAACGTAAAAATTAGTACCCTTGATTTCTATTATGGTAACAGTGCAAACAGTCAAAAAAAAAAAAATCCGAGGCAGTTAAGCATGACCAATTAATGTCACTCTAGTGCTTAGGCTGCAAAGTTTAATGGTAGAAAATTCTGTGCTGTTGTAAATCTTACTATAATTTGAGGAAATCAGAACTGAGGAAGCAAGTGAAACTTACTAATTCTATTCGAGGATTTTATAATGGCATATTTTTTCAGTATTAAAGTGAAAATGTTTTCAACTCCGGGTCCTTACCATTTTTCCAGCACTAGCTCTTGCAAGTGGGTTATCTGGGTGTAGGGGACAGAGCCTCCTTTCAGTACTCCCTCTGTGTGTGTCTCTCTCCCTTTTCTCTCTTTCTCTCCCTCCCTCCCTCCCTTCCTCTCTCATTCATTCACACGCAGAGCCATAGACACCCTTCCCTCACCCCTTCCCCAATGTAAATATCAAACAGAAGTTTCCTGCCTCCTCCCTTCCCCCTCCCTCACTTTTTTTTTTTTTTTAATGCGGCAGTGAATCCCTTTATTAATACTGTGAATCTCTCGCTGCTGCTGCCGCCGCCGCCTCTGCTGCACACACTGCAGATATATTAGGGATGTTAGTGGGAATTTGATTTAATTGACTCTGCCTAGCTCGGTCTCATTAAGCTGGAGCCGGATTTGAGTGGTCAGCACTTCAGGCCCATACGCAGCCCCCCGGACTGCCGGCGAGCCCAGGCTGCTGTGAGCGGTTGCCTTCAGCAGCTGTCAGAAGTGGAAAAACTGATTAGGGAAAGGATTTTCCCACCCTTACTCTGGGTAGCTGCACCTTTTATTATTAACAGCTGAAAAAAGCACGGTGCAGTGCTGCTGTCCGACTTGAGGCAGCTCGCCTTTGATTCCTTGCCTATACGGGAAAGTGCCCCTTAACTCAATAATACCTATAAAGGCGAAAGCCCCTGCAAATCACTTGAAACTCATAGTTCAAGTCTCAGCGGAGATATGGAGAATTTCAGTCACGTTGCTTCTGGCTTTCTCCAGGCAGAGAATCCTTTTAAAGAGTAAAACACCATAAGGGACTTGATAAACTTCAAATACTGATTCGCTTTGCTTTATAGAAAACGCTCACCTTTGGGATATGTGACGAGAAAGCAGACATATATACACGCACATGGCAATAGATACACTCTTGAAAACGGGGTAGAAGTCTAATCCTAGGTATTCATAAAGTATTGAACTACTGAACAGATCATTCCTCCAGAATCCTTTATCACTGTGGAAAAGTCTGCAGTCTCCTAGAAAATACCTTGAAGTTTGATTGTGCAGCTCTGGTAACAGAATGTCCATCTTAATTACATAAATCATTCCTATTGCAAGGACCCTTCTTTATTTTCCAGTGCTTCTTTGTTAGGCTGATTGTTCGGCCAGGACATTCTGGGTCAGACAAAGTGATGGCAGTAGAGTCACTAGTTTGCCATTCAGCTTTCCTCCTACCAGCTGGAGGAAAAAAAAAAAAATTACATGTGAGCCAGTATTTCTGTCCTTAGGAGGCCATCAACTTTTAACTCAGGCATGGTCCAAAAAGCATTTAAGAATAAGGCAATGCACTGCTAGATTGCCACCTAAGTCTTTCTGCCTTCTCCATGATATTGTAGTGAGAAAATTAAAGAATCTAGTGCAGTGAGAGTACATCCGGTGCTAAAGCTCATCATCATGTTACAAGCACTGTTACGGAAGTTAAGATAAAGATATACTAAATTAAAGGTGTCAAATCACCGGCTAAGGCCAGACATCCATGAATGCCAGAGTGTATGGCACTAAATAATGTGCATATATTTTTTTTCCTCATTAAGAAGTAGCATAAGCTTGTGACTTTGGCCATTCACTTTCCTTAAACTGCTAGTTCACTGGCACACTTAAAGACTAAAGAAATGTCAATTAAACTGAAGTGTTGAAGACGTGTTTTCAACATTGGGTTTCCCGTTTGGGAGTGGGGAGAAATAACAACAAAGATAAAAACACTCTCTCCTCTTCTGTGTCACTTTCTGATGTTAACGCTCAGATAATTCTTTCTTCCATCTGTGAAACACTCACATTTAAGACACATAGAGCATCTAACTCTCTGAGATTATAACATTATCAGGCTTTGAATTACAATGTTTATCTTATTTGTATGACTAACATTACCAAGATCTTTTCATCAAAACAAAACACTCAACCAAAGGGAAAAAGAAGAGAAAGAAAAGGGATGAGTGAGAATGCATTGAAAGACAGTGAAGCATAAGATAAATGAAGTGAAAATATATTGAATAAATATATTTAGCTGTACCACATTAACCAAAAACTCATTAAATGTTTTATTCATTTGATAAAACATAACTGTTGTGATAATACTTCTAACACTGGAAGCCTATATAATACCCTTATTGTTACAATACATGTTCCATTTTTTTCTGCCGTCTAACTTAAGAAGAATCTCTTAACTTCAGGCATAACGTATTTCATATTAAGTTACTTCTTGTTGCTTCTTCTGTTCACCACAGTGAAGAGATTTCAGTTGTTTCAGAAAGGACAGAGAGGAAAGAAATAACTATCTTGATTAGTTACTTAGTTGAAAAAAAAAGTTTTGTTTTGTTTTGTTTTGTTTTGTTTTCTGTGAGACTTTCAACTAAGAATAGCCTAGAATGTAAATTGTTGCCATAGAAATATATGCCTGTATGCATGGTAGCCTCTTGCATGCTATTTAACGGAGGGCTGAATGGAATTCTAGTAGCAAGCTGATAATATGTTGAATTGACATCAGTAGGTGATATATATCATTTTTAGCAGAAGTGTACTGCTGGAACTACTCTGCACAGATGTGAATTTTTATATCATTTTCTTAAATTTATTAGTAGTGGCAGGGTATCTTGCAGCTTTAGCTCAGTTACATCGAAAACGATGTTTCAGATCCGATTACAAACTGAGGTGATGTAAACTCTTTAGAGCTGGATCAGATTTTATCTGCGAGTGAAGAGAAGGCTTTGTCTGGTAGTCTTTACTCAGGCAGAGCAGTCATTAACTTCAAAAGGCGAACATTTCACAGTTTCTTAAATTCTACTTACATGAAAGTTGGGGGCAAAACACATTAGAGGAAAGTTAGGTCAGCAAGAAGCCACAGAATCCCTCTCCCTCCCAACAAGAATCCACGCGTTTCCATTGCCTATGAAAAGTTTTGTAGTCCTCCAAATGTGAAAGTTTCCTCCCCAAAACAGGTAGCTCTTGAAGGGGCAAGCTCCTTTTCCTTTTTAAATTTTTAGTAGGGGCTCGTTCAGATGCAAAGCAAAGTAGGATTTTGTTCAAGAATTTAGTATGGTTGTTTACACTACTTTATTAGTCAGAGTTGGCTTGGCTACATTTTTATTCAAGTGTGATATACAGCGAGCATTTTTAAGTGATTATTCAGTGGATAGATCTTTTCATATTTAGAGGTGTTGTTCTATGTACTATATGTAAAGTAGAACATTTTCTTTGGCTGAATTCTATTCCATGTGTTTATGCAGCACAAACTTGTGGGAATTCTTTGTGATTTATGGTGCAGAAATTTCCAGGCAATGGACAGAACTTATGAGTTGGCTTCTGCATAAGTACCTTTTTGGTAGTGATTGGGGACAAGTCAGAAAGCGAGGAATGGGTGATTTATGTTGGCAAACATCAGTTGCCATAAGATCACTCAGATATTTGTATATTCTCTCTAAAATGTGCTGAACTGTGTCAGGATTATGGTCATGACCAATACAAAATTCAAGAATCTGTCGAATTGCCCCCACTTTTTCTCAAACAGAGGAATATTAGCACTGGAGAAAATGTGGACTACAAATGCTGAAAATGTTGTGTTATATTACATTACGTTATTATAAATAAGTTTAGCAAATTAGCAATTATCATATTATTATATTTTTACTATGTCTTTATAAATGCACTGTTTACAGTGGTAGGTTAATAGGTTAACTTGTAATAGAAGACGGTATTTAACATTGTCTGAGAATTTCAGAAACAGCCATCATATTACCTTAAAGGTGGGGAAATGCAAATGGGGTTCATCAGCATTAGTGCTCCAAGGCTAATTACCTTGTCAATTGACATATTGGCATGCTGAATTGCTTCATCTACCTGATAAAGTCTCTGAATCAATTTCTCTGTATACTACTCAAATAAGTTCTTCGGTTATATGACAGAGGAACAAAGTCAGCAGAAATCCCCCTGAAGAAAATGGGAGTCTTCTGCATCAAGCACTGGAAGGCTGAGACCGAAAAATTCATAGTGCAGGAAAGAATGCCCAGAAATAACCCATTCCATATGACACTGAGTTGACTCTAAGGGAAAGAGATTGCTTCAAGCACCTTTGTTTTAGTGGAACTGGTGGAACAAAGTGCTCTAGCATTTGCCCCACTGAAATACTGCTGATACCTGAACTCTTTCTCCAACTTGCTCCCTTTCCAGTAGGTAGTGAGAACTGACCCTCCTCAGATAGTTTCCAACTAAGTCAGTGGAACAAGTCCTCTGAGCTGTTGACGACTTTTATTGATGGCATGAGTGTTCAGACACATGCCCACTCTTTAGTCTCAGACCAGTTATATCTAAGTAAGCGTTATCGTGCTTGATTTGCGTTACTTTATCCTTCCAGAACCAATGCAATTCTCTTGTGAGTGGAGAGTTTTGTAAACGAAGTGCACTAAAAACTCGACTTCATGGAGGGTGGAGGGAAAAAGGAGAGATAATAGTTCTTTTTTTCTTCAAATAAAAGTTCAGGTAGTAAAAACAGACTGGGAAGTCACCGTTAATGTTTTGGAGAGCAATGGAAAAGGTAGTGCGGATGAGCTATGAAGAAAATTGGAAGCAGCATAGTCCAGTTCAAAAATTTAGGGGATGTGACTCATTTCCTGGATAACCACATAACCTAAAGTGTAGGTGGGATTTGACTCACCTAACTTGATGGACTTGATTCGGGTGCCTAAGCACAAGCAAATAAACCCATCAGAGGCATTCTAGCCTATCTGAGATGTGTGCGTGAGACTGGCATACTAATATATTTCAGGTGTGGCAGCTGGAGGCTAAGCTGGGAACGTTAGTGCCTCTCAAATAGCAGTAGAAACACGTGTGAACAACTGAATTGAGCCCGTAATCTCCACTGAGTGGCTAGTGGCTTGATTCAGTTACCCCCATCTAATGCTATTTGAGTTACCTTGGTATCTGAGCTGCCTGCACAGTGGTAACAAAAAAG